TTGGGGGGTGGGTGAAAACCCCCCCCCCCCCCCTCATAGTTCTCCTTTAAGCTTTTTGCCCGGAGTGACGAGTCTTCTTTCCTGGGGTCTATTAAACCTAATTTATCAACAACATTACACAAGCTTGATAAATCTGGTGCAAATATATTCCGTGCAAGTTCATACACACGCAATTGCTATGATAAATTCCCCCCATTCTGATTAAGGTACACATACTCTCACCAGAATTGGGCCAGTACATGACCCAGAAGTTGGGGATAACTGGTTCTGTTTTCTTTATACAGGTATTTAGTCTGAAGACAGGTCCTCTTTAATGTCATTCTATTGCAAGCTACAGACAAGCGGCTCACCGTCACAAAGTTGTTGTTCTCTAATTTGATGATGTCGCCCACCTGGACCTTCATCCATTTCTCGCTGGTGAACCTGCCGGAGGAAGACAAAACGGGGGACATGACATTGGGAGGTGACCTAGGTGACATCTGCTGGCATACAATAGGGACTTGTACAATGATTGTAGGTTCAGCCCCTTATAGGGGGGTCCCACCTGTCGGAACTGCACACCAGCGGAGCCTTGTAGTCCCCAGTAGGGAAGGTGATGCAGATCTCCCGGGTTCAGATTTTGTGTTAGGGCCTCTTCATACCTATGCGGTGCTTTGCATTGTGGAAAAACATGGCCTTGCACTGTTGGCACCTCAATGGACATGCAACGCCCTACAACAGTTCGTGATGCACCACCGTGCGTTGTGGCAGAAGGATGGTCCAATTGTTTGTCCATTCTAGTTGGCACATTGGCAGCCCATTCGTTTGAAGAAATGCACAACGTTGATGTGTGTGCATTCATTTAACACACCGCAATCGGTCCTTACTGATCCGGAGTGTACTGGTACTTTCTGAGCCACTGGATGGGACAGAAGAACTCACCTGCCAGGTTGGGTCTTCTATCACAGTCCCACACCATCCACTACGGAGCACCTCTCACACCCAACCTTCAGAGCTTTACCTAACCTCCACCCATCCTTCAGAGCTTCACCTAACCTCCACCCAACCTTCAGAGCTTTACATAACCTCCACCCAACCTTCACCTAACCACCACCTAACCTCCACCCAACCTTCAGAGCTTTACCTAACCTCCACCCAACCTTCAGAGCTTTACCTAACCTCCACCCAACCTTCAGAGCTTTACCTAACCTCCACCCAACCTTCAGAGCTTTACCTAACCTCCACCCAACCTTCAGAGCTTCACCTAACCACCACCCAACCTTCAGAGCTTTACCTAACCTTTACCCAACCTTCAGAGTTTTACCTAACCTCCACCCAACCTTCAGAGCTTTACCTAACCTCCACCCAACCTTCAGAGCTTCACCTAACCACCACCCAACCTTCAGAGCTTTACCTAACCTTTACCCAACCTTCAGAGTTTTACCTAACCTCCACCCAACCTTCAGAGCTTTACCTAACCTCCACCCAACCTTCAGAGCTTTACCTAACCTCCACCCAACCTTCAGAGCTTTACCTAACCTCCACCCAACCTTCAGAGCTTTACCTAACCTCCACCCAACCTTCAGAGCATTACCTAACCTCCACCCAACCTTTAGAGCTTTGCCCAACCTCCACCCAACCTTCAGAGCTTTACCTAACCTCCACCCAACCTTCAGAGCTTTACCTAACCTCCACCCAACCTTCAGAGCTTTACCTAACCTCCATCCAAACTTTAGAGCTTTGCCTAACCTCCACCCAAACTTCAGAGCTTTGCCTAACCTCCACCCAAACTTCAGAGCTTTGCCTAACCTCCACCCAACCTTCAGAGCTTGACCTAACCTCCACCCAACCTTCAGAGCTTTACCTAACCTCCACCCAACCATCAGAGATTTACCTAACCTCCACCCACCCAACCTTCAGAGCTTTAACTAACCTCCACCCAACCTACAGAGCTTTACCTAACCTCCACCCAACCTTCAGGAGCTTTACCTAACCTCCACCCAACCTTTAGAGCTTTGCCTAACCTCCACCCAACCATCAGAGCTTTACCTAACCTCCACCCAACCTTCAGAGCTTTGCCTAACCTCCACCCAACCTTCAGAGCTTTACCTAACCTCCACCCAACCTTCAGAGCTTTACCTAACCTCCACCCAACCTTTAGAGCTTTACCTAACCTCCATCCAACCTTCAGAGCTTTACCTAACCTCCACCCAACCTTCAGAGCTTTACCTAACCTCCAACCAACCTTCAGAACTTTACCTAACCTCCACCCAACTTTCAGAGCTTTACCTAACCTCCACGCAACCTTCAGAGCTCAACCTTACCTCCACCTAAACCTTCAGAGCTTTACTTAACCTCCACCCAACCTTCAGAGCTTTACCTAACCTCCATCCAACCTTCAGAGTTTTACCTAACCTCCACCAAACCTTCAGAGCTTTACCTAACCTCCATCCAACCTTCAGAGCTTCACCTAACCTCCACCCAACCTTCAGAGCTTCACCTAACCTCCACCCAACCTTCAGAGCTTTACCTAACCTCCGCCTAACCTCCACCCAACCTTCAGATCTTTACCTAACCTCCACCCAACCTTCAGAGCTTTAACTAACCTCCACCCAACCTTCAGAGCTCTCCCTAACCTCCACCCAACCTTCAGAGCTCTCCCTAACCTCCACCCAACCTTCAGAGCTCTCCCTAACCTCCACCCAACCTTCAGAGCTCTCCCTAACCTCCACCCAACCTTCAGAGCTCTCCCTAACCTCCACCCAACCTTCAGAGCTCTCCCTAACCTCCACCCAACCTTCAGAGCTCTCCCTAACCTCCACCCAACCTTCAGAGCTTTACCTAACCTCCACCCAACCTCCACCCAACCTTCAGAACTTTACCTAACCTCCACCCAACTTTCAGAGCTTTACCTAACCTCCACCTAAACCTTCAGAGCTTTACGTAACCTCCACCCAACCTTCAGAGCTTTACCTAACCTCCACCCAACCTTCAGAGCTCTCCCTAACCTCCACCCAACCTTCAGAGCTTTACCTAACCTCCACCCAACCTTCAGAGTTTTACCTAACCTCCATCCAACCTTCAGAGCTTTACCTAGCCTCCCGTTCCTCTTTCCATTGGAAGGAGGCGGTAATATGAACTTGAATGTGGGAAGCGAGGTCCTCATCAGGTGCAAAGGAACTGATATAAAACAACAATGTATACCCTATTGAGTGGTCAGTGCCCCTGATCCTTCACATCCCAGGGGTCAGGGTGATCACCAGACACAATGACAGCTCAGAGCCTGTAGGTCTGCTCTGATACCATGGTATGTGATTTAGTAAGGTATCCGATATGTGCCCCATACGGGGTAAATAAACTTACCCTCCTTTGGCGAGCACCTGCACTGTGCGATTATTGACCTGATTGTCACTTTTGTGCCGATACTGAAAGAAAAGGAATACAAAGTTGCTGTAAAGTCCACTTGAAGCATGCCAAAGTAACCAATACTATCACGTGTGATTTTAGCATGCCTTATGTGCTATTTAACCCTTATAAAGCATTCAACATTCCATTATTATCCCCAAAGGTGAGTGGATCCTCTCTGCATCAATAACAGAGTTATTTCTTACAACAATCTACTGAGTTGGGCAGCTGCTGCAGAAAACCATGTGACATGGTCACTGCTCTTACAGGAATGAAGCCTTTCTGAATGAGGTTACATCATTTCTTTTCCTCCAGGTCCACAAAGTGCTGACAACTACCAAAAAAACCTGAATTATACCCAAAAATAAAGAAGTATTTTAGCGCATTGGCACAATACACCGGTGTGAATGGGCCCCTAGCAGATTCACACAATCCGGCAGGGGTGTATCTACCACAAGGCAAACTAGGCATTTGCCTAGGACGGCACTTTCCAGGGGGGCAGCAGATTTCTCGTCAGTTTCTGTCCCTGTGGTCACCCGGACAAGCAGAGAGGACAAAAAATCACCTTAAAAGGGGCCCTAACCCTTCCACCCTCCCCCCCTCCAAAACTCTTAAGACCTCCAAGTGAGAGCTGTCCATTCACCCCAATACAGTCCACACACTTCTATAACACGGGAGCCTCTTACAAAGTCATCCGTGGCATCTTTCACGGCAGACACGGTTAGCACCAGCACCAGAGGGACCACCGTCGTGAACCAGGACAAGGAGGAGACTTGTGGAATGAGCTGGAAGAAAAAAAAGAAATGTAGGTGAGAGAAGAAGATGGAAGAGAGCACAATGACTCCGAGCAATACCCAGCACAGCCAGTAGGGGGTGACAAAGGTAACATAACAGACCTATACACATACATGTGAAGGGGGTTCATGGTTTCATCACCCTAAGGCCCCATTCACACTTCGTGATTCGCCAATCGCGCGTTTGTCGCGCGATTTGCATTTTGCGCGATGTCGCGCAAATGCTTGCATTGAGCAAGGTTGAATCGCGGCTAAATCCGCTCCAAAAAGGGTCCTGCTGTAGCGACACACGACCCGCGACAGCATGACCCTTTGCCCCGTTGAGAAGCATTGGAGAGCGATATCGCGCGGTAAATTGCCGCGATATCGCGATAAATCGCTCAATGTGAACGGGGCCTAAGGAGAACTATGGGGAAAGCCCTAACCCCATAGTTCTCCTTTAAAGGCCAACAGATGGAACTTTAATCTGCTTTTTATGTGTATTCGTATCTCTGCCCATGTGTTGTTGACGGAGCTCAGTAGTACAAGCTGACACAATCAACCAATCATTATATATATCTACTGTATACACAGACATACAGTACAGTATATCACAATAGATGAAGAATACTCAGTGCAAAGCCTTCTGTTGCTCATTAAAGGAGAACTATGAGGGGGGGGGGGTGATTTCCACTCATCCTCATAGTTCTAGCCGACCTGTGACAATGAGACTGTCACAGGTCGGCTCAGTAGATCGGGAGGTGAGCGAACACATACCTGCGCTCGCTCACTTCTCGATCATGTTCCTGCAGGGATTCCCCCCTCTCCGATCCTCCGGCGCTGACTGGCGGAACGGACGGGGGAGGGGGCGGGCACAGCTGCCTCTAGATAGGCAGAGCCAGCTGTCACTCACGCAGCTGGGCGGATCCCGTCATCTATGTCGGGAACCGTCCCGGCTGCGGCGTCTCAGTATACCGCGAGCTGTAGCTCCCTATATACTGAGCTTAGGGTGACGGGAGGACGCTAGTATATGTCCTCCCGTTACCCTGAGGAGAACTGTGGGGAAAAACACTGACCTCATAGTTCTCTTTTAACTCAGGACCGGCCTATTGGTTCAATGTATGGAAAGTCCACAACAAGGACTCTGAGGCTAGGTTGACACCTAGGCGATGGAGCTGGGGAGCTGTTTCCACACGGTTGTCGCGTGGTTTTCAATGCTTAGAGATGTCTATGGGACCCAAACCGCATGACAACCGCATGACAACCGCATGACAACCGCATGACAACCGCCTTAAAATAGCTCCTGCACCTTTCTGTGCGACAGGCGGTTTCGTCCGCTCATCAAACTGCAAAGGTGTGTACAGCCTCCATTGACTTCAATACAAATCTGTGCTTTGCGCGATACCGCGCGATAAATCGCCTAGGTGTGAAACTTTTTTTTTTTTTAGGGCTGGTTCACCTAAGTGGTGCGCTACATGCCCAATACCAATGCGTTTAGCACACAATATCGCACAGCGCAGCTAGCATGTGGTACTGTGCGCCAGATGTGTTGCCACCCCAATGCACCTCCTGGCAGCTGTGCAGTGCGGCGCTGCGCAATGCTCAGTACCGCGATGCGTTGCAGGGGAAAAAAGGAGTGCATGCACTTCCATTTTTCCAATGCAGTGCTGCACATTGCAGCTGCTAGGGGGTGCGTTGGGGTAGCAACACATCTGGCACACGGTACCACACGCGGGCTGCGCTGTGCGATATTGTGCGCTAAACGCATTGGTATTGGGCATTCAGTGCAATGCCCGATGCGGTGGCATTAAAATAAATGGCGGTACAACGCACCTGGTGCACGGTGCCGTGCGCTAGCTACGATGTGCGACAGTGTGCGCAACACACATGTATCATACGTGTAGTGCAACGCTCAGGTGTGACCCTCCTCCTCAGGATTTCGCGTTACAATGTCGCCAGTTTCTGGTGTTCTATCAAAGTTTGTGACTGCGTTAGAATTTTAAGGTAACCCCGCCCACTTTTTCAGCGGTGGAATGCGTGACCGGCAAAAGGTGAGGAATTCCAACGTTGTGTCAGCTGTTCCAGGGCAGATCGACATCGCAAATCGTATGCGCAGGAGAACCGATCTGCCCTGGAACAGCCGATCGCTCCTAAAATGTAACTTCTATCCGACTTTGTGAGCGTGGTGGAATGTGAGATCGCAGTCAGAGAGAAGTGACATTTCAGGAACGATCGGCTGTTCCAGGGCAGATCGGTTCTCCTGCACATGCCATCTGCGATGCCGATCTGCCCTGGAACAGCTGACAAAGCGTTGGAATTCTTCAACTCGTCACATATTCCAACGCCGAAAAAATGGGCGGGATTAGGTTAAAAGGTGTGTCCACGTCACCGGTCACGCATTCCACCGCAGTCACAATCTTTGATAGAACAGCGGCTCGTCGCTCTTCCTCAGGCCGGAGATCTGATACAACCTTCCACCTCCTCCTATAAGGAGCTCATTACAGGTGACATCACACAGCCGATCAGATGGATGTAATTTCTATATGAGCGTCTGAAGGGGGTGTTGGCTTGTGCGGGGCTCATGGTAATGGGTCAACGTTCCCTGTACAGCGCTACGGCATATGTCGGCACTATACAGATCCTGGCAATGAGGAATCTGGGTGCAGTGGAGGCCGGCCGATCTCTAATACATTCACTGAACTGAGACACGCAGACAATAGCAGCAGCTGCCGATCCGGAGATACGCTCAGTACATAATAACAGAAGGCTTTTATATGACACCTGATAACATTATTTACATACACGGGTCCATCTGAACCCATCACCATGACGACGCAGGACTCCGGGCAAACGCACAGATCAAATACAAATAATGGAAACTGCTTTACCTGCCAGAGGATTTGTATATATGTCCATCCAGTGCTTAGGTTTACACAGCTCTGCCTCACGGCACAGCCCTGCCGGGCAGGGGAGAAGACCTGGTTTTTCTCTGCTGCAGTTCAGTAACACTTCCAGGTCTCGTCCCTCCCCCCAGTCTGTGATTGGACAGTGAAAGGAGAAGCAGCAGACTGATGAGCTCATCTCTTTGTCACTCTGCTCGCGCCTCCTATCAGCATGCTCCTTAGCAGATGTCAACGGTGCAGCACAAGAGTTTGGCTCCTTGTGCTGCTTCGTCCTCCCCTGGTCTGAGCTCTGCTGTACAGACTGGTAGTCACATTCCGGTACTTACACTGCCACATTTATTGATTGCAGAGCTTGAGTCTTACTGGGGATCATAGAGCGTAATGGAAGGGCTGAAATACTTTTCCTGGGGAAAAGTCTGCTCCTGGCTCCCTCCAGTGCTGCCGGATTCCTGAACAAATTCCGGGACCAGTGGCGTAACAATCACCATAGCGACCCAGGCGGCCGCTATGGGGCCCGGGAGGAAGGAGGCGGGCCCGGCGACGGAGGAGGAGGCGGCGCCCATCAGCGAGGCGGACAGGTAAGAAGTCCGACCAGCACACCTGAAGGTGACCCTGCAGAGCCCACCATAGAGAGACTATGGTGGGCTATGCACGGTCACCCTCAGGTGGGATCTCGAGTGGGCTCTGCAAGTGGCATAACTAGCAATCACGGGGCCCCATACAAAATTTTGCTATGGGGCCCTGTGATTGCTAGTCACGCCCCTGTCCAGGGCGTTTGGTCATCTGATCTGTGCTGAAGGGGAGGGAACACCGGTTGATCCCCATCACGTGACCAAATGCCTCGGCTTCCCAGTGAGAAGACCCGCACTATGTTTATCAATGCAAAGATCCGGCCGTGTGTGCTCCAACCAATCAGACTGAGGCAGGTCAGTGGGGAGATCCAATCTGATTGGCTGCCACAGGTCAGCAATAGTTCCAGGTCACCCCGAAGGGTTTTGGGGAGCTCCGGGGGGGGTCTCACCTGCAGGATGAGGAGGAAGACGAAGTAAGCGTTGGCCACCCGCTGGAACTGCTCGAAGAGGTTGAGCGGCAGGAAGGTGAATACGTTGTACTTGGAGGTCTTGATTGCATTGGTCTGCAAAACACACAAACGCGCATGGTTACTCCGACATTCACCTCCAGGGAATACATGTTTTCACACAACGTCTACCCAGGATTCACTCATCTCTGTAGTGCCAATTGGAGAAATCGGTGAATCCTGGTGAAATTTAGGCTAGACCACAGTTGCGGAGCAATAACGCACGTTACCCGGAACTGTAAATGGGTCGTTATCAATGGATAACAATGAATAAACAGCAACAGTCACCCCAGCAACCAGCACCGCCAATCCTCCTATGATTACACTCGGGTCAATCTGCGCCAACCCACATTCTAAAAGTGCCACAAAATGCAACGTTTTCTTTTTTCAGCCATGGCAACGGTACTCTGGGTATAGCCCTGGCAAGGATTGTCATCCCCCCTGCTCATGTGATCGGCTCCATGCTTTCCCCAGGATGGCGGGGCGCTGTATGTGGCTTCACATCACAGCACCCTGCCTCGGTACTCCTGATACAAGCAGTGGGCGGGCTCTTGGGAGGAGTTATGCAAATATCAGCCTGGGGGAGTGCAAAGGAGTAATCGCCTGCAAACCAAGGGCCCACGCATCAATCCGTCAGATACGCATGGCATCACAAGCAGAAAGCAAGTCTGGAGGAGTGGGCGGTCCTAGGCAGGATGTATTTGCATACAGAACTCCCTAGGTAACGCCCACATGTGACGCTGAGCCTCCATGATTGACAGAACTGAAATCCAATGAATGAAAGGGGCGGAACTAGGGACAGTCAGGTTGGGGAGGAAAGTGCTAGATGATGCCAGGAAAGGAGGCGGAGCTCTATCGGACTTGCTGCAGCTTCTAATGTACATTGTGAGAAGCTCCCAGTGTGCAGCGACATCAGAGGAAGAGGAGGCGGTACAACTGTGCAAGACTGAAGGGAAGGACGGAGGTCAGATAGAAGACTGAAGGGTAGGACGGAGGTCAGATAGAAGACTGAAGGGAAGGACGGAGGTCAGATAGAAGACTGAAGGGGAGTACAGAGGTCAGATACAAGACTGAAGGGAAGGCCGGAGGTCAGATACAAGACTGAAGGGGAGGACGGAGGTCAGATAGAAGACTGAAGGGAAGGACGGAGGTCAGATACAAGACTGAAGGGGAGGACGGAGGTCAGATAGAAGACTGAAGGGGAGGACGGAGGTCAGATACAAGACTGAAGGGGAGGACGGAGGTCAGATAGAAGACTGAAGGGAAGGACGGAGGTCAGATAGAAGGCTGAGGTCTGTCCCGGGTTCTCCGGCTGTGATTCTTCTTATCGCCTCTGATACGATGATATAACATTTTTATGGGTCTCAGTTTTGGACTTTGTATTAGAAATGTCACATTATGTTTGTAACAAAATCCAACAAGAAACCTTCACACTTCTGATAAAATGTATCTGTACGCAGGGGAGTGCCTACCAATCATGGGGCCCCAGAGCAAAATGTTTAGGGGCCCCCCATCCTCTCTGTTGCTGCTGCAGTGTCTATGGTAAGAATCCTGTCACTGATCTCATCATAAAGTATTCCAAAGTGAAGGACAGGCGGGAGGAGAGATGTCAGCATAGTCAGTGCCCTCCTCGGGACCAGGGATGAGATTCGCGTTGGCGGCCTGCAGGGTCCACATTGAATGTTCACGATTCACAGAAGTGGCCTGTTCACCAGCATAGACCTCTGCCTGCTAATCATTCATTTAGAGGCAGTACTACTACCCCCAACTTCCCACTGTGTAGGTCACAAGAATCATTGGTTGCTAGGACACAGGTGGGCAGCACAGCGTCTTTGGTTGCTAGGACACAAGGGAGCAGCACATTGTTTTGGTTGCTAAGACACATGCTGGCAGCACAGCATCTTTGGTTGCTAGGAAACACCGGACTGCACGGCATCTTTAGTTGCCAGGACACAAGTGTGCAGCACATTGTCTTTGGTTGCTAGGATGCAGGAAACCTCCAGTGTCCTAGCAACCACTAACCCACTGCCTGTTGGCTTGTTTAAAATTTGTAACATCCCAGCAACCCGGAGAGGAGCCGGTACAACTGTACAAAGACTGAAGGGAAGGATGGAGGTCAGATATAAGACTGAAGGGAAGACGGAGGTCAGATAGAAGACTGAAGGGAAGGATGGAGGTCAGATAGAAGACTGAAGGGAAGGACGGAGGTCAGATATAAGACTGAAGGGAAGGACGGAGGTCAGATATAAGACGGAAGGGGAGGACGGAGGTCAGATAGAAGACTGAAGAGAAGACGGAGGTCAGATAGAAGACTGAAGGGAAGGATGGAGGTCAGATAGAAGACTGAAGGGAAGGACGGAGGTCAGATATAAGACTGAAGGGAAGGACGGAGGTCAGATATAAGACGGAAGGGGAGGACGGAGGTCAGATAGAAGACTGAAGAGAAGACGGAGGTCAGATAGAAGACTGAAGGGAAGGATGGAGGTCAGATATAAGACTGAAGGGAAGGACGGAGTCCAATGAGCTTTTTATGGCCATGAATCCTCCAACAAGATGTCACTTGAAATGCCCTTTGAACGGAATGCCATAAAACCCTCCGGCTATTGATAAGCTGTCATTCAGTAATAGGTGGGCGGACCTTTCCTCTGATGGGTAAAAAGCTTTATTGGGAGTCCTCTGAGGATAAATAAGTACACAGATCAATCGCTCGATTGGACGCGACCTTCAGCCGCGTGAGATAAAGAGAAGATGAGGGGTGTAAAACCAGAGCGGAGGAGATATTCACAACCCGCCAGAATTGCAGCTGGATTTTGTCTCATGCCGCACCGGGCAAATCCAGCCGCAGCAAAGTAAATCAAAACCCAATTCACAGAGCCATTCGTCCTGGGGGGAAAAAATGAATGTGCTTAGTATATTTTCTTTCCAGGTCGAATGTAATATCAGGAAAATACCACATTATGACCACTAGATGGAGCGGAGGAGCAATGTAATTCTGCATTATGGCCACCAGATGCAGCTGAGGAGTAATGTAATGTCATACTGCATGATGGCCACTAGATGGAGCTGAGAAGTAATGTAATACGGCATGATGGCCCCTGGATGGAGCTGAGGAGTAATGTCATGAAATACGGCATGATGGCAACTAGATGGAGCTGAGAAGTAATGTAAGACGGCATGATGGCCACTAGATAGAGCTGAGAAGTAATGTAATACGGCATGATGGCCACTAGATGGAGCTGAGAAGTAATGTAATACGGCATGATGGCCCCTAGATGGAGCTGAGGAGTAATGTAATGTAATACTGCATTATGTCCATCAGATGGAGTTGAAGAGTAATGTAATACGGCACTATGGCCACTAGATGGAGCTCAGGAGTAATGTAATGTAATACTGTATGATGGTCACTAGATGGAGCTGAGAAGTAATGTAATACTGCATTCTGGCCACTAGATAGAGCTGAGAAGTAATGTAATACGGCATGATGGCCACTAGATGGAGCTGAGGAGTAATGTAATGTAATACTGCATTATGTCCATCAGATGGAGTTGAAGAGTAATGTAATACGGCACTATGGCCACTAGATGGAGCTCAGGAGTAATGTAATGTAATACTGTATTATGGCCACTAGATGGCGCTGAGGCGGTAATGTAATACTGTACTATGGCCACCAGATGGAGCTGAGGAGCAAAGTAAAAGAATTCTTCTTTTATCTGCTCCACAGCCCCATCTAGTGGCCACAGTGCAGTACTACATTACGTTACCTCTCATCTCCATCTAGTGGCACCAATGTGGTATTTTATTAAATCCCATCGCAGGCCTTTTAATGGGTCCAGTCATTGCATGTTCTGCTACATTTTGGATCCCTGGATTACACGAAAAAATTAATTGTGGGCCGTGCATCAAAGGGGGCGGAGGGGCAGTCTGCGCTCTTCCCAGAGGCCAGTCTACGGAAGCTTGTAATGGGCAGAACGTTCTGCTGGCTTAGGGATAAAATCCGGCAGACTCGGATCCAAAACAAGCAAAGAAAACTAGAAATAACTTTCCACATGAAAAATAGATTTGCTTCAAGTAGAGCCGGCAAATGACCGCCGAATGTCCGCACGCCGCTGCCTGCCGCTGGGAAGAATAAATATTAAATAAAAGTATTGAAAGAATGTTATCATCTCAGATCAACAGCTGAATAAAGGGCGGAGCCATCCAGAAATGTCCATAAGATAACACTCTGTAATAGAGACTCAGGTATAAAGAATGTGGAATAGATGTTCCTGTGCTGAGTTCCCGGTTCTGTACACCTGCTGTGCCCATTATGAGGTTCGTGACCCTCTGCACTCACAGCGTGTCCTCAATCTTCCATCTTTAATGACGCCAACTCTGAGGACATAAGGAGACTGAGGACATAAGGAGAGGAGACTGAGGACATCTGAAGATGGAGGACATAAAGAGACTGAGGACATAAGGGGACTGAGGACATCTGAAGACTGAGGACATAAGAAGACTGAGGACATAAAGCGACGGAGGACATAAGGAGACTGAGGACATAAGGAGACTGAGGACATAAGGAGACTGAGGACATAAGGAGACGGAGGACATAAGGAGACGGAGGACATAAGGAGACGGAGGACATAAGGAGACTGAGGACATAAGGAGACTGAGGACATAAGGAGACTGAGGACATAAGGAGACTGAGGACATAAGGAGACTGAGGACATAAGGAGACTGAGGACATAAGGAGACTGAGGACATAAGGAGACTGAGGACATAAGGAGACGGAGGACATAAAGAGACGGAGGACATAAAGAGACGGAGGACATAAAGAGACGGGGGACATAAGGAGACGGAGGACATAAGGAGACCTAGGGACATAAGGAGACGGAGGACATAAAGAGACTGAGGACATAAAGAGACGGAGGACATAAAGAGAAGGAGGACATAAAGAGACGGAGGACATAAGGAGACCTAGGGACATAAGGAGACGGAGGACATAAGGAGACCTAGGGACATAAGGAGACGGAGGACATAAAGAGACGGAGGACATAAAGAGACGGAGGACATAAAGA